GCACGTGTGGAATATGTTATCCCTTTGTTTCTTCGCTCTTGTCTTGTAAGTTTAAAGCTCTTCGGATAATAAGGATATTACCCCAACTTGAAGTATCTTTGATTGACTAAGACATAATGAAGTACCTCCAAGAAAAGGTTAGTGAAAAAATAAGTTTTCTCCTTCACTTTCACTCATGTTTATCTCACGATCTCTCACACTACAACTTCTTCTGCCAAGTTGAGCATTCGGAATTAAATCCGCTTAAATGAGGATTTACATGTTAGTCTTAATGACACGATAAGGAATCTTAATGGGATCTCATTTCTAGAAGCTCAGAAGTAAGCACACAGAAGGAATTGTACTTAATTGAAGATAATAAAATAATTAAAATCCTAATCTAGACTCAAAATAAATTAATAAAATAATATTATCTTAGTTGAAGAAAACTTCTTTTCCTCTTGTGGAATTCACCATGTAGCTTTTTTCTTTTTGGACTTCAATTTTGTGTAGGAGTATCTTTAATTTCAACATGGGAATCATGTGGGAATAAGGAAAAAGGAAGAAGAGTCCTCTTCAGACTCAAGTTGGTTGTTGTTCGCATGCAATTGGTACGCAAGCTTGTTGTCTGCATGCAATTGGCGTGCGCTAAAACTTCCTCGCGAGTGTGGCTAGGACAGCCCGCTCATGCGCTTTCCTATGTGCGGCCTGCTCCTATGTGTATGCAGCAGTGTTAACCTGCACAAGCGCATCCTGCTGCATGACTTTAGGATGCCCACACGCCTGACATGCTGCATCATATAAAAAACGATCCCACATGTGCGAGTATTCCTTCCTGCTCATGTGGATAGCCACACGTATGGGAAAGAAGTGTCACATGCGTGGCATATGTCGTCCACGTGTCTCTTGGGCCAGATGCTTTTTTTTAGGCCTTTTCTTGGTCTTTACTGGTCATTACTTACCCATTCCTGGGCCAAAATTCAAAATTTCTTGGCCCAACTTCTTGTAATTAGACTTAAGGGTAATTGGATTTGGTTTCCTATTTTCCTAAGCCCATTTTGGACGTTCTTGGACTTTTCTCTTTAAGATGGAACAGGAAACAAAGATGACTTGTTTGTCGTTTCTCCTTTGTTAGTCCCTTAGCCATCTTCTTGAGTAATTTTATGTATGGGATCACATCACTAAAAGTATATATTCCCTAAGTAAAATATTAAGCGGGGCTATAAAGGCTTAAATTTGGGTGGGACAGACCTAAAAGGTACAATAGATAGGTTGAATGGTGTGTTTGATGAGCAATTAGTGTATCTGTCATGGGTAGCATGCCACCTAACAACCTCCCTTAATTCGCCATGATTTTTTCTTATGAAAACAAGTGGCTCATTGCCACTCTCAATTGGTGTATGAGCAAGTAGTGTTATAGAAATTTTTTGTCACAAGAATTACCATGTTCGCAATCTATCTTTCAATGATTAATGCAACAAAATCAATTCTTAATTCTCTATAATCTTACACTTTTATTGGGGGGATATCAAATTTATTATAGATTGAAATGAAACTTTATTTTTATGACATTTTTTTTCAAAATAAAGCCAAATCTAAAGTGATTTCTTCTAATTAGGTCAACGAGAGAAAAATTTATTTTAAATATTTTTAGAAAAAATCAATCTATTTACATAATCTTAAGTCTCTATAAATATAGGGTAATTTTAAAAAAAAAATTTACTTAGAAATTTCTCTCCCTCTCTATTCTTAACTAGAATGCTCGAATAATTAATTTTATAAATGCACAATAATGTTCACTAAAACAAACTACTCAACAAATTTAGATAAACCCAAAAGTTCCTTCAAAGGAGAATCCTCCAATTGTTTGACAAGAAGGTAAGACATGTCCTAAAGTTAGTTGAGTAATTTCTAAACATTTTTTTTCTCTTAGTTTCTACTTATATTTATTTGTCTTATCTACGGGTCTTACTTTTTTATTGATATTTTCTCTTTTTCAAATTAAAATAAGACATGGGGATCCTTATTTATTTGATCTCTAATTTTCCTCCCTTATTCTCCTAAAAGATAGGTGTGTGATACCTAGTAGCATTAGGTGTTGTGCTCATGCAAAATATGAAAGGAAGAACTAGGTAGACTACCATAATGATGCCTCACTCTAAAGGTTGACTATACATTTCTTTTACTATTATTATTCTCATTTTATAATCTCTCTCTATTATATTTAATCTTATTTCACTCTTTTTAAAAAACAAAATAGAAAATGCAATAAAGTTTGAGAATTCGGTGCCTTGTAGAGATGCTCCAAAGATGTTTCATACACTTAAGGATGACAATTGATTCATGCTTTTAAGTCATGGCCAATTTCACCCATTTTTGTTCTTTTCATATCTTTATTATTAGGGTCTAATCATTTGTTATTTTGTTTTTGCTTTATTTACTTTATAAAAGAAGCCGGTCATGGTTGATTGCCAGACATCATGTAGCCCTATAATACAAATGCTCGTACAATACACATGTAAGCTGAATAAGGCAACGACTATTTGATGTATGTTATTCATAAAACCTTCTTTTCGACATTTGATATAAGATAGTAACTCAGAAAAAAAGAAAAGGAATACAATATATATGCATGGGTTTTTCTTTTCCTTTCTTTCATTTGTTTGACATATTTATCTTGCTTCAACTCCTTTTGTTTCTTGAAGGTTATGAACTGAGAAATCCTGTTGTATGCTCTTTTTTTTTTTTTTGACTCAGAAGTTGATGAAGCTTTTATCATAAGGAACAGGATTGTTTCTTTTCCTCCCATAGGAGTAAAATCAAAGATATGCAGCATGCTTCTCTTGTGTAGAGATTGAAGAGAGTGAGCCAATGTCTTCGGACATTGTTCAAGGATTATTCGCATTAACAATAGGTATATGAAAACAATCATTCGCTTATATATATATATATATATATATTTGTGGTATATATAGGTTGTTTTACTCGTTTCATTGGCTAGATGATCTACTCTCATGAGCTCTTATACCTGATATTTCAGTTTGTTGGCCCATAAAGATATTTGGAGAATGTAGGTTCTGCAACTCCCAGTTTAGCATGTTCAACATGATACACAGCGTTGTTAGCAGATAAACTTTATGTTTACAACATGGATGAATACTTACATAAAATCGAGCCATATATATTCATATATATATATATATATATGTAAATACACATGTATCGGCATTATTGATAATATCATAAGAGGTATATCTGGAACTACTTGCTTTCATTTACATATGTGCACAATCATACATCAAAATTATAAGTGATCTATATTTAATCACTCATAACTATGCAACATCAAATGTTGCACGGTTGGATTCGGCGAAATCATACAGTGCACTTGGTTTGCAAACAATAACGAAGCAATTCAGGTGTCTTAAAGATGTAATATCAGTTCAAGTCAATGCCACAAGAAAGAGTTTAGGAGAAGAAGATTGGTCACAAAGAGCTGCAATGACGTCATCTAATGTTGAAGCTGGCTACTCCAAATTAAAGTACATTGATCACCAGCTTCGCCAACAGCAGGCCTTACAACAGCTTGGTGTCGTCCAAAACAATGCCTGGAGACCCAGCGATGATTGCCCGAACGAGCTGTATCCGTTCTTCAAGGTTGGCTTTTTGAGCATTTCCTTCACCCATAAGTGTATTTTTATAATTGGTCGAGTCATTTACTAACTATCAGTTTATTTATATTAAACTAAAAGCATGAATCATGCACAGTTGTGTTAAACTTATCTTTTTCATAGAAACGGAACTATAAGAATTCTAATACTAGAATTCTTTTTCTAATACTATATTAAATAATTAATTCAATAAATATATTATTTAAAAAGTTTAAATTAATATGAAATATACAATTTAATCACAGTAATGGATTTGATTAGGAAAGAATTAGTCTTATCTTTTCCATCTATGAAGTTAACACATTAGAAAACTGCGAAAAGAGTCATATCATTCATACTTAAAATAGTCATAAGCATAGTCTGCATAGCTCTTTTTACATAACCAAATCATTACAATACAATATTCTTCCCTAAAGTTGAACTTATAAATTTTAACATGAGTAGGCGTTTAACATATCGAGCTAAACCACTCATTCTTACTTTTATAATTCAGGTATTAATAACAAAATTCAGGTCAAGGAACTTTCACATTCGATATTGCCTAGTTAAGTGATTATATATAGAACATTTATGATTTTGATGTATGTAAACGAAAGTAAGTAGTTCCAGATATACCTCTTATGATATTATCAATTATGCTGCTTATCTCTGACTACTCCTATGGGAGGAAAAGAAACAACCCTGTTGCTTATGATAAAAGTTACATCAACTTCTGAGTCACCAAATGAGCACACAGCAGGGTTTCTTAGTTCATAACCTTAAAAAGAAACAGAAATCTCCACCAAGGGAGTATCATCACTGCCATGAAACAAAAGGAGCTGAAACAAGAGAAATATATCAGACAAAAGGAAGAAAGGAAAAGAAAAACCTATGCATATATATTGTATTCCTTTTTTCTTTCGAATTACTATTTCTTTGTAAAAGCAAACTATCTTGTAGCAAATGTCAAAAGAAAAGTTATATGAATGGCATACATCAAAGAGCTGTTGCCTTATTCAGCTTACATGTGTATTATACGGGCATTTGTATTGTAGAACTACATGATGTGCTTAGTATTTTACCAAGAGGTGAAGAAAATCAACAAGGAAAGGTCCCTGTCAACCGGATATGATCGAGAGTCCTCCTGAGGCCATACTTAAGCACTGCCTCATTCCCACGCCTGAATCCATCTCCATAAGCTGATGATGTATCTGATTCAATCTGGTGCTTAAAAAAATCACCAAGCTTCTTCTCAAAATCAGACCGTTTACCCTTCTTTGATGATGTGGAGGAAGATGAAGCTGGTGATGGTGATGGTGATGAAGAGGAAGATGATGAAGCAGCTTCACTTCCAGATCCGGAATATATCTCAGAATCCAGCCACATATGAGCCAGCACCTGACATATACCTTCTTCTACCTCTGGACTAAGATTTGGATATCCTGTTAAGCATACAAGCTATTAGTATTTCTTCCCTCGCCATATCTTGACCAAACATTGCCCATGGCACATTTCTGTTAAAAGAACATTGATCATTGAACAGATTAACACCTTTAAGCCGAAGCCAAGCATGCATCATCTCATGTGCCAGGATTGAACCTGTCAGCAACCTGTGCAAATAGATGTTTTAGGTCATATGAAATAAATTATTAAAATAAATAATCTCAAGATGGCAAAACAAAAAATCATACCTAGGAAGCCCATACAAAATGAGGATGGCAGTCACCTCACATTGTCGTACCAGCCTAAAAGGCTCTGTTATCATGTCTATGAATCGGTAGCCTGCCCCAACCCTTGGCCTTTTCGAAACCTGGTAATTTGAGCAACAAAAGGTAAGAGTTAAAATTTAAAACCACTAGATCAGTCATCTTTAATCCACAGGCACAAGTGTATGTCCTGATACATATAAAAACAAGAAAGAAATTCAAATTCCTACGGTGGTAACAGTCTGTTCTTCAGACAGGCAAAGTCCTCTGGTTTCAGGTAGATGATGGTGTCCCTGCCCACAGCAATGAAAATAGTGAAAAAGGAAACAGCAAAAAACAAAATGAAGAGAATAAAAAAAGCACATTTTTGGACAAAAAAAAATGAAATGGATCATACTTACATTCTTTTCTCCCTCCATAGCCTCATTTAAGGCTTGTCTCTCTACCAGGAGCAAAGGAATTTGTTGCTCTACTTTCATATTTAAACCTTCATAGAATTCTCGTATTTCAAGGTATAAGGGCTGGCATTCATTAGTATCCATAATTGCAGAATCAAGGCATTCAAGACATAACTTTCGACCATCATCAAGTAATAGATATCTTGTTTCCCTTGGCTGCAAGAATTGGAAAGACATCCATTATGAAGGATTCTAAAACATCAGAGTCTATCAATTGTATCTCTTGGCAGGTATACTAACCTCCATTCTTTCACAACTACAACACCTGGGTGTCCCATCACGCTCATGTGAAGGGCAGTACTTTTGAAGCCAAAAAGGATGTGCCCTGTACTCGATCAGGCCAGCTCCATTTGTAGGAATCTGGGAAAATCAGAAAAACAGAAATATGTTGCATTTACGGCCTGCTATGATGCCAAAGATATCCATACTAAAAATTTTGATATATTCACCTGTATGTATGAAATGCTGCAGAAGTTTCAACAAATTGAAGGTCAAATATCTCAAGAAGATCAATAATGTCTAATAACCAACAAAAATGTGACTGAATTGCGGATGGCACGGTTCTAATAATTTTTATTTCAATGCTAGGGATATATTTGGAACTAAACACCAAGAATGGCACAACACCATTAAATGGCACATAATGATTGCTGCAGTTCAGCAAGCAATTTGATCTCTGACTAACAAAGATTTCTTTCAAAACATATTTCAGTCCAGTAATAGCTTATGTTGCGTTTAGAGGTGTGATAATTCTGCATATCAATTTGATCTTAAGTCATTCTGTTGATGAAAAGAAAAAAAGACAGCCTGACCTTTAAACCATAGTGTAGAGTTATAGACAAAAGATTTAATACTATGAATAAATACTGAAAAGAAACCAGTTGTTCAGACCAATGATAGTTGAAATTAATTACTGAAAAAGGAGAAGTACTCACATAGTTCCGGCAAACATCACATTTTGGTCGATGGTGCTCCTTATAACAAGATTTGTGGTAAGGCCGATTTCCAGACACTGAAAACTATCACGGAAAGGTAATTTGCAGATTAGAGCTTATTCATTTCATTTGATACACATAAAAAGACTTTTGAACAATTGAGTCCAAAACTAACAGATCAATCAATAAGACAAGACTTTCAACCTCATAATCACCGATTGGCAGGTTGCACGAATGGCAACGAAAACATTCAGGATGCCAAACGGCACCCATGCAACTTAAAAATCTTCCATGGCCAATTTCGCTATTGCAACCCGCACAGATCCTGCAAAAAATATGTTCTTAACAATCAAATCAGGTTTCATATCATAACTGCAATGATAAATAAAGATAGAAAATATGCAGAGAGATTTCATCTCAAACAGAGTAGATATTGTTGTTCAAGTTATATGCTACTGGCCCAGCCAAACATACAATGTTTACCAAAAGCAAAAAGTTGCTTTTTTTCTTTCCAATGCTACAAGTCAAGCAACCCCAATGGAAATATTTTTTAAACAAGATCCTGTAGAAACTATGGATAGCAATAACATCTCTCCATCTGTGGAACCAATTACTAGTCCCTAGCAATGTGATAATTACTTAGGGTATATTGGATTAAGAATTATAAAAAACGCAAAGATGGGAGGGAGGGAGAAAGAAAGCATGGAAAAATAAACACTTTAAATTGGATTGTCTACTCAAATTATATAGGGGGACAATGTAGCTTCCTTATATTACAGAACAATTTTAAGAGAGTTCAACATGCAGCAGAACAAATTGCTAGGTTAAAAATGAGTGTACAAGGATCTACATGGTGCAAAATTAGCAGGAAAAGAGTAGTTACTGCTGAAACAGAGACATTGTATAACCACATGTACCTATAACTACTTGGGAAGAAGAAAGGAAAAGGCCGAAATATGTTTTGGGGAGGAGAATCCATATTCAAACTTTCTTGAATAGCCTTTGCCAGTTTTTCATCTTCCTCAACCTGTGCTTCAGTACAAAACGGTTCATCTTCTTCCAATCCAGCTTTGTTACATTGTTTTTCATCTTCCTCCGACACAGTTTTGCCACATTTTTCATCCTCATCCGACTCAATTGTCAAACATCCTTCATCTTCCAGGGATTGAGATTCATCATCTAAAAAGTTATGAGGGCAAAAATCACATTAAAGTTACGATGCATAGATATTAATCAACTACATGATGTAAAGTATGCTACTAAAAGTTATTCTCCACCTTACAACAAAGGCCTTCACAGAAAGTTCAATTTATAACATGAATATTACATTCAGGAAATCATCTATGCATATTGTCATGGTTTGCTTAACTTTTCATAATATTTATGTATATGAGGCATCACGTCTTGCGCCTTGATGAAATACCTTTGTCATATTTCACAGATCTGTAAGAAATTTTGAAAGCCTAACAGTAATGCTTCTGAACTTCAAGTTAGTTGTTGTATTTAAGGATTTTAAAAGTATTCCAAGTTGAAAACCCTCCAGAATTCTATTTATGCAAATCCATGCATTAGAGATTGAAAATTAATTTAACTCCGTACTCCTAATTCAAAAAAAAAAAGGAAAGTAGAGCAAAGGTAAAAGCATCTTATGCATTTCCCCTTGAGAGTGGGGCAGAAGCTGACTAAAGGAGGATGAACAGAATCTTTTGAAAAACTTGCAAGAGTCAACAAAATGGAATGAAACATTTACATACACATACATGGAAGGATTAAGAGGTTTTGGTAATCTAATTAATTTACTTTCTTTCTTGACAAGTTATCCAGAAGAACCTCACACTCTAAAGACTTGATGTCTATGACAAGATTTTTCGAAAAATCTCACAGATCACAACTTGTATGAATGCTGACCAGTATTTACCGTGAAACAGGCTTACCAATTGGTTTTTTCCCTTTCAAATCCTGTTGAGAAATTTGATCTTGTTCCGAAAGGGAGAGTGCAATGGCACACTCAATCTCTTCTTTGTCAAAATCTGACAAATTATCCTGCTACCAAGTTTCACATATATGATTAACAAAGAGAAAACTGGGTGAAGAAATCTTAAGATCATGCATATGAGAAAATACTGGACTTCAGAGCGTTTCTATTCCAAAATGCAGAGTAATTTGAAAATTATGCCTCACCCACTTAACCATAATAAAAGTAAAGGCTAGCAACCACCAAAAGAAGAGAAGTAAACATTTAATTACCACCGAATAGCGAGGCTCTTCCCAAATTCCATCATCTTTGTATTTCCCCTGATACTGTCCTGATGAGATTTTACCGCTAGAACCTTTAAAGATCTTGGTCAGCCAACCCATAATGTAAAATGCAAACTGCTAATGGACCAGCAAACTTCAGTCTGTACTCAACCCAGTGATTATGTTATAAGAAAACCATTTCAGGAGGAGGAATGAAATACTCCACGGGTATAATAAACATGAACAAAAAGACAAGAAGTATATGTACTTCAACATTCTAACACAT